ATACATGATTGCTGAAGTTTAGCTACGATCCTGGCTTCCATACTCTGCATCTGCGTCTGTATTTGGGCTTGTACTTGTAGAATCATCTGAGCCACGTTCTTCTCAATTTGTGCCACATTCTTCTCGTGCGATGTGAGTCGTTCCTCTACATTGTCCAACCTTTCCCCGTGTCTATCTAGAGTCTTCCGTTCTTTAAGGCTTTCGATGGCCCTCCTCTTCGGGGCCGGCTCCGCCGCTCTGTCTGTCCTGGGACCGACCTCTATTTCTGGATCCTCCTCGATCATGATTTCGTTAATCTTCGCTGCCTGCGCCGGAGACGCCTGCTCTTCCTTGTTCCTAACCAAGGCCGCTAGCTTTTCGTTAATTTCCTTTATTCTGTTATCCTGCTCTAGGATCGTGTTTCTTAGTTTCTCGTTCTCATCCCTGAGGGCCTTTATAGCCGCCAAGTCATCCTGACTGTTTTTTGTCGTGCTGGCTATCGGCGTTAGATTGTCTGTCCCCTAGCTTAGGGGTCCTAAACGTGTCGGCCCAAGAGGTTTCTCCTCTCGGCGGCGAAGCTTCTCTTCGTCGGCTGACACTTCTGCCTCTTCTCTCCATGCTATCCACTCGACGCTGACTGTCCGCCCTCCTTCTAGATGTACTATTCGTCCTCCCGATGGCGCGCGGTCCCAGCAGCGGGAAGTCTCCTGCTGTTGTTCGGCACTCCGAAGCGTCCGTTTTCTTTTCCCATTGGCGACACTTTACCACATACGGCTGCTTGTACTTGTTCTTGCAATTCCGCTCTCCAATCGGATGAGGTCGCCTGCAAAGCTTACATTTTGACTGGCATGCGAGCTCGTACCCCTCCTCCGGGTCTACCTTCCCACAGCCAAAGCAGAACCTGTTGCCTGGGTTAGGGCAGACGTCCCTTCTGTGTCCTATTTTACCACATGCCTTACAGACGTCGAAACGTTTGCGATATAGCCCGCATTTCATCAACACTATTCCGTACTTGATGTAGCGCGGTACCTTGTTACCAGCGAAAAGCACTGCGGTGGAGTCTCCGATCCGGGGTGCCTCTACGGCCAAGGGATTGTACTTATTGACGATATTTAGGGTAATGTCCTCTGCCGTTTCTTCGATGTTTATGCCTCTCACAATTCCCTTAACTGTCTCGTACGTCTTGCCTCCCTCTTCGATTGTCGTCATTCTAGCGCACCGCGTAGCTCGCTGTTCGTCTGGAGTACTGACCACGATGATGTTCTGCTGGGCATTTGTGCCGACCATGTCCTCGCTTGCCTCCTCTCTGGTGACCTTCGCCGCCCTTGTAATCGCCGCCATGGCGGCCGGGCCCCCCATTTTTGCAACGTTAAGTCCGCCATGCGGTCTGACTACGATCTTGATGTCCTCCTTCGGCATGCTAACTGGCATCCTTGCCCCCTTAGTGATTGCCGACGTAATTTTCTTGACGTAGTTAACCCTAGTTCTGGGTCTAGATTGGCGTTGAGTTGCATCGGACTCACCACCGGACGTGCCGTTCACGATCTCCTTGATTATCTTGCCTGAGACTTTCCATCCCTCGGTCTCACCCGGAGAGATTCGTTCCCCGGGTACCTCGACGAACGTACGCCCGTCCACGTTGCCGATTCTAGTTGCACCGTCTGCTGCGTCTCCTCTGGCGTTGCGGCGGCCGGTTGTTCGACCAGCATATCGAACGTGACTGCCTTCGGGTTAGGCCTAGTGGCCGGCACCGATTGCCGTGCTCGACCTAGGCCTACTTCAGGCTTAGCGGGGTGCCCCCGCCGCCCCGGGTGAAAGGTCCACGACTTCGGGAAACTTCACGTACCACTTGGGAAAGTTCGGTGTCCTTCGGTAGTCCACACGTTCGCGCACACGTGAGAACCAAAATCCGGGTGAAATTGATTAATGGGCACCGCGTAAATTGGCTTTAACTCATGAGCCGGTGTGGGAACGCGTCCGCTCCTCTCGGCGACCGCAGCGCCCCCCCCCCCCCCCCCCCCCCCAGCCTAGTATGAAAAAAAAAGTTTTTTTTGGCGTGTACTCAAAAAGAATTCAACTGGACGCACGCGTGGCTCTATCCTGGACGACCTGCCCGAACTAGGGGTGACTCATGCCCCGCTGCGTGGCGTGTATCCGGTCGTTCTGTCCATAGCGGTTTTCCGTTCCCAGCCAGGTGCTATGAGCAAGGTTCAATTCTCGCGCTTGCGGAGCGTCACGTGTTCGAGGATGTACATTACAGTTATGCCAAGGCCAGACGAACAAGCCGGGCCCGCAATTGATCTCGCGCGACCGCAAACTTCACGTCTTGAGGATCTATTACACATCCTGCCCAGGCAAGACAAACAAGCAGAAAAACAAGCTCGGGAGCAAACAGCGCCATGGTTACTTATTCCAGTATTCAGCCCGTAAAAATGGACCAGTTCATGAGTATGAAAGGCAATCTCGCTGGAAAGTTTGGGTTTAAAGTAAACTCCAGCGGTGAAGTTTTCAACTCGAAGGAAGTACACTGCATCATCTGCTAAAAGCCGTTTTCGTACAGTGGAAGCTTAGGTTTGCTTCAGTATCACCTACGAGCGAAGCACCCATGTACGCCGCTGCAGCAAGGACCATCCCCGCCAAAACGAAGAACACAACCAACGCCTTCTCATTGAGGCCCTTTTCTCTGAAAAAAGAAGAAAGCATCGCCCAAGCCCTGACTACTTGCCTTCCTGTCGAAGAATGTGGACAAACTTCTTTCTCTTCGGCGCTGGAGCAAAAATATGAGTCTTTGAATTGTTGAACTATATGTGTCTTCAATTCTAAATGTCCTTTGCGCCATGTACCAGAGAGTAAAATAAGTCTTCAAAGGCAAGACGAGTTGCATTCTTTTTAATACATTATTTATAAAAGATCAACGCAACCAATTAATCGATTAAAGGGTGGCGATTAATCGGGATAAAATTTTTAATCGACGCCCACGGCTACAGCCGTTAACATCCATGTTACTTTGGGGCGCTTTTGCTGCGCTCAAGCCTAGGGTTCTTGTTTCCACCACCTCAAATCACGGCGTTACGATCGACACTGCTGCCGGACCGCCGGGCGCCACCGTACGTGGAAACCGTGGCAAGGCGCAGCCGGTGCGACGGTCGCCGACTTCCGATGAGCGTGAACGTCTGCTCCGAGTGTTCTGCTAGATTGGCGTTGACTAGAATATGGCCTCGAGATCGACCTAGAGGTGGCGCTACGGTCGCGCCATCATCATCATCAAAGCGGGGATAGGAAAACGGCCGCCCCATAGGCTTTCCACGTTCGCGCGCGAGACGGCGTAGATTCTTGCGTTTAGTTTGTCACATACTATAGGTGAGAAAACTATTCTAGCGGTAGAGGATGCGGTACTGTCCGGTGGTTCAGTGAAGACCGAATGGTGTTGCCAGCGTGCGGCCTAAATTTATATAATCGCTTCTGTGGGAGCGTCGTCTGCTCTATGCCGACGTTGGAAAGCATGGATCACCACGACTGATGCATGTTTCCGGCTGAACTGGAATATTTATGTTAAATATTTGTATCTTTTAAAATGGATGTATCGGTTCATCAACGCGGGAATTAAAAGAAAAAACCATAAATTCCAACCCAGATAACATAATACTGGTACTGCGGGCTGTGAAATCGCAGCTACGATGCTTTTATTTAAACTTCTAGCTTTTTCAGTAATATAAATATTTGGAATGAAGATAAGTTAGCGCTGTATTGGAAATTACTACGCTATTGAGTTCCTCTGCCCTCTTACGCTGCCATGGTGTGGGTAACTTTTTTGGAGTCGGAACAAATCTACTGCGTTGCGACGAGGAGAGAGTGTCTCTTCTAGTTAAGTCCAGAAAATTGCACGGTTGACAGGATAACGGAAACAAGTGAAACAAACTGTTCTAATATATCTGCCGTGACAGTAATAAATGAGTGTAACCGAGCAACGCAGCAATGTTTATGTTATTAAATGCTTTTCTCGGTAGTGTGAGTTCACCCGCTTCAATTTTCTTGGTGAGGGCCGCGGATGTCAAGAGGGTAATACTATAGATTTCTGGATAAATAATCTTGTATTCAAACACAGTAGACTCTGCGACCCCAACAAACGACGCGCACCACGACATAGACAGCATCGGCCGCAGTGATTCTGTTTTACTGATCAGGGCTAGCGACCTTCACGAGACTTTCCGAACAGCCTGCGCCCTCACCTAACGTATATCGGGATTGGGCAGTTCATCGATTAACTTTCAAAATATTCAAGTAAGGCTTCAATTGCAATTTTTTTGACGGTTAATTTTAGTCTTGTGCTGGAGAAAGTCAACAAGAAGTAAAAAATGCCTGCTTTAATATTCTTGACGTCTCTATTTCTTTTGTGACATAGGCGTGCGCGATAAACCACTTCAGCGTGCTTGTCATTTCACCGAGGGTGATTATACTGTTTAAATAATAACTTAAAAAGTACTTCATTTTAAAAGGCTTCCCGTGTTCATATTTATGTAGGACACACAACGCGAAGTTTAGAATGGGAATGCAATATGCCATTTATGACACAGTAAAACCAGTAAAACAATGTGTAGTTTTAACGTCTTTCACGCAATCTGACCGGCGAAAAATCAGCATACGGATTTATTGATTGATTATTTTATTAAAGGATTGCGATCAGTCGGGTTAATTTCCTAATCGAACCACAGCCCCACTCAACATCCAATGCTTTATGAAAGCCGCGGTTTGTGCGAGATAACAAAAATACGTGGGATGCAGCGATTGTATACAAACCAACACACTAAGATTATGGAAGCTTCCGACTTAATAATAATCGCTTTGCTGAATTTCTACGCACGGGAAACGATACAACTCAACCTTTAGTAAGAAGAAACGGCAACAAAAGCATAAAACATTTAGTAAGGAATGTCAAGCTCAGCCTGAAACGGGCTTGCGTCGTCGAGATCCATGCTTCTGAGCGTGCGTCCGTAGCAGACGACGCACGGCAATATCTTCGCTTTCGCGCGTTTCCAATTTCGGCCGCACGGTGGTGACACAGTTCGATCTCGAGGCGAATAGCTAGTAGAGACGGCGATTGAGCGCCATGCTTTGAGGTGGCGGAAACAAGAATCCTACGCTTGAGCGCAGAAAGAGCGCCTCAAGGAAACGAGGGATGTTAACGGCTGTACTCGTCCTAGTGGTCGGAGTCGGTTATTAACATATTTGACGTCATCGTGACGTCACCCTACTTTTCTCTCTCTTTTTTTTTTTCGCTCATCGGTCGCTCTTTTTCTCGCTTCTTTGCTCGCTCGGACGCCCGAAGCGCGTTACAACAGCCAAGGCTACGGCAGCGCCGGCCTAGTCAAACCAGCCGGCAAAGCTGAGTCACAGTCCGTTGCAGCACAAGCCTGGCGGTGGTTGATTTGAAATAGTAGGATGACTCACGCAAGAAGTTCAACAGATTTCCGAATGCTTCTGCGCCCTTAGTATTGCACGGCTCAAGGGTACGTCATCAGACGACGTGAACGTGATCCGCTGCTCTGGTGATGCGATACCCATGGGAAGGAGGCCAGACGAGGCCTCGCTGTGCCAACCCAGACTTTGTACACCTGTGACTCGCCTCAAGAGCGCTGTTTCTCAGAGAGCTCGAACCTGCGACGGAAATTTCAGGTCGCACTCCACGAGGGCCTCTGTTTGGATGATGCTAGGCGAAACTTGAGCGCTGCCATTGTGAGCATAGCTTAACCGTAGCCATCTTTTTTTCTTCCATCCCCTCTGCGGCCCCCGCTCCGTTCTTTCCTTCCGAATTGCTCCCCGCAACCCGAGTCCTCTACAGCCGTCTACAGCCAACGAGTCCTCGCCGCTCAAACCGACCGTCCCTTCTCCTCATCCTCAGTTCAACCCATCGCCCAAATGTAAACGCCAGCCAGGTCGACTTTGCTCGACAGCCCCGGCAGCCGACTTCGCCGCAGCTGTAACCTTACCCCCCTCCTCACAAACCAGCTTCGCTCTCGCCCTCGCTTCTGCCCGCTGACATCGCCTCTTCGCCGTCTTCGCCTGAAGATTCTCCAAGGCAGACTGCTTCCGCCCGTCCTACTGACTCAGACAGACCTTCCTTTTCCGTAATAAACAGTTAATCTTTAAAGTTATTCCTTCTTCGTGGGCCCTCACACCATCCGTGCGTCAGCAGGTCAGTAGAAAGGATCGTCACAACAGCGATGCCGCCGTGTCGTTTTTTCAACCGTAACAGAAGGTAAGACATGTGTCCCAGGATGCTTCAGGTGGTTTACCTATTTTCGAAAATTCCAAATGCAACTGCCTGCACGATCTTCAACGAGATCACCTACAAGGAAAGTACGTATTGTCCTTTCATACAGCAGCGTGGATAAAGTTTGATGTTGAAGACCCCACCTACATATACACGAATACCAGCTCATTCCACCGTGACGCCATGCGATCACTGCTGACAGGGGCGCCCTTATTGGACAGGAGCGTGGTGACGTTTTTATGGGATTTAAGGCGTCATGGAATTTATTTACAGGTCGAAGTCTTTTCGCTTAGCTCGTCCGACAGACAGGATGTCCGGGAAGGGGCCGCTGTCAGTCTTTGATGGGACGTTTTTTTGAGCCCACTGAAGACTACTCGTCGTCCGAAATCACTACCTTCAAGGCAATGTGCCAAGCCAACGGAAAAGTAATTTCGGAATCCAAAACTTCCACTGCAAACGTCAAGCTTCATCTCAGTTGGCGTCTTAAACAAATTTGAAAAATGTATTGCGGTATCAGTATTTCGGTATATGTATTTCTGCCCTCCCTACAATTCCTGTATTTGTATTTCCAAAGACTTTTTGAATATTTTTAAAGTGTATTTCTGACACGTATCGCGATAGATTTTGACGGATATATTTTAGTATCAGTATTTTGGCTACTATTCTCATGTATCCCAGTATTTGTATTTCCAAATGCATTTTTGAGTATTTCTGCCTAACCTTGCCCTATCTCGGCCAGAGGATGTCTTTTGCCGCATTTGTGACGGACTGCGGCTCCACGGCGGCGGGCACGACCGGTCCCTGTTGCACCGGAGCCGGGCCAACGGCAAGAACGCTGACGTCAGCGGGCCCCGGCGCGTGGACGACCCGGCGGAACATCGAGACGCCATCCGGTGCTTCGGCGCTCGGCTGGCCCGCGACCCTGTGTTTTCTGCCGCCGCCCTGGAAGCAGCCGGACTGCAAGGGGTAGCTGCTTCGGCCTTGGCGACTGTGCCACCGAGACCGCCAACACCGCGCACCGAAGACCAGGCCGGGCCCAGCGGACTATAGGACCTGATCGACGGGGACATTGACCTCAACCCGCTGTGACCTGTAGACCGCTGGGCAGGGACGACGACTACGAGCCCCTTTGGGCTCGGGTAAGCCTGCTGTTCCTTTTTTTTTTTAATTTATGAGAGCCGGTGGATCTCCATTTTATATCAGGTAGGCCCACCAAGCCTTTTATGGAGGAGGGGGGGGGGGGGGGGGGGGGATGGATGTGGGGACCGCTGGTCGTTCGTCCCCGATGGCTTGTATAACGGCCGTGGTTCGGAACGCTCGGCCCGGTTGTCGTGAGCTCCAACATGTTCGTGAAGCGTAGGAAAGCCGCCTGTCACCGGTGGCGCACAACTAGGCTGCACTCCCTAGAGAGAAAGAGTATGGCTAAATGGACACCCTGGACAAAGATGTATATAGCTTTGATATTCACATCGTTATATAAATTTGTAAATATAGAACTTAACGCATTTAAGGCCATTTTTGTATATAGATTTATTTGTACTTTCACCGTCTTGAGGAGGGCACCATAGTGTACACAACGCTAAATAATTCGCTATGGACAGACACTACTATACAATCGAAATGCAAAACAATCCCAGTAGAAGACAAATAATTCAGATTAATTTGGAAAAATCAAACGTAGCGACAGCACACCTAGAGGAAGTTATAACTGAAACTAAACCCGCATTTATTTTATTCCAAGAGCCTCGTGCAATAAACAATAAAATTTTAGGAATACCATTACGATTTCAAATTACAGCATCACAGATTAATCCTGAATGCGAATTATTTCCAATGATAATAACGATTTTATTTTTCCTTTACTGCAACTTTCTGACATCGTAACTATGCAATGTACATATAGTAACATCGAAATAGTCTTAATCAATATTGGTTTATCTCCCAGCTCTGCATTTTAACAAACTTTGGATAATTTAGATAAATTTCTTCGTTCATTAACAAATAAAAACATAATAATAGGAAGGATTTTAATGCAAAACATGAAACATGGGGAGGACACGTCACAGATAACAAAGGAGAAATTTTAACTAAATTTCTAATAATACATAACCTTTTTATCATCAATATTAAGCATTTCCCGCCAATATTTATAACTACTAATGGACGAAGTTGGATAGATTTACTAATAATTTCAGGCGACTTATTAAATAAAATCTCCCACTGGGAAATCCTAGACCAAGAATCTCTCAGTGATCATCAATATATATATTTTTTTTATATTAAAGGACAACTCCGGTTCATACTTTCGATTTTGGGATTATGACCGTTTTTAGTGCAGTCAGGGTCCCTGAATTGCAAGGTGTAATTTTTTCTCTCGTTATTGTGCGTAGTTTTTTCTCTCGTTATTGTGCGTAGTTTTAAAGATATCGACGCCTCAAAGTTTTGTTTGGGGCGCGGCAAACAAAACCAAAACTAGCCGTTCGAGGCCCCGGCAACACTGGAAATCAGCGTTGCGGAATGGGTACCCCCATTCCATTCCAATTCCATTCCGGGGAATTAGAGTTTTCGATAGTTCAATTCCTTTCAATTCCTAGGAATGGAGACACTCGGCTTATTCCCACTCCTGGACTGGCTGAATCGTTCCATTCCATTCCTCTAATTCCTAAACGTAAAAATTGGCACTTGACAGCTACATTGTGTTGCCGGCATAAGCAGCATAAAGCTGACATAACTAAAAGCAGAGACAATTGCAAAAAAAAAAAAGAAGCTAAATTCTTCAAAAAAGCACTGATATTACTAAGCGGGCCACTGGTGCCACAAAGCTTTTATTTATAATGTACTGCAAACATCGAGAAAGCCCCTTGATATGTTGATGCTTGTCTAAGACATCGGTTTTGCGACCACGTGGCTCGCAACAAACAGCAAAATTTAAATCCGCTCATTTTCTTTTCCTTTTTTAACTTTTTTGCATTTGACTTTTAGGACATACGCGGCCAGCGTGTTTGTTTGATAAGACCATAAATATGTCCAGTTCGTGCGTAGCGCAGGAATAAGCTATATTACTGTATTCTTCAAATACTGCAACACGGCTAGTACACTGCTGGAAGTGACTCCATGTACAGCGGCAAGAATACATCCACTGACAAAATGCAACCTCTGCGGCGCAGCATGAGGGACCGTATAGTAGTGGTGTAAAGCTATCGATAGTACTATCGGTAGTATCGATAGTCGCCAGAAATCTGACTATCGATAGCAAAAATATATCGATAGTCGATTATCGAAAGACTATCGATAGTACTATCGTTAGTCGTCCATCGAAAAACTATGGATAGTAGTATCGATAGTCGACTATGAAAAAAACAAGACTATCGATAGCACTATCGATAGTCCGCTATTGAAAAACTATCAATAGTTTTATCGATAGTCCGGAGGCATGCAGTTTAGAGAAGCTCGTTTTAGCGAACGCCGTTTTACCGACCCCGGTTTATCGAATGCTTTTATAGAGAACCCAGTTAAGAGAAAAGGGCGATGAGCCTCCTTTTTAGCGAATTCGGCCGCCGCGAAGCCGCGTGTACGGGTAAATCAGATGAGTTTACATTTTTGTAATAAGCCGCCGCGAAGCGGCGGCTCATTACAAAAATGTTAATTGACCTGATTTACCCGTAATGAGCCGCCGAGGGACCGCCGCTTCGCGGCGGCGGCGGTCCCTCGGTGGCCATTTTGAACAAGTTATTAGTTCAACCACTAGATGGCGGAACTCATCCGTGTGGCCAGAAAACAGTCTCGTGGCAGTGATGTTCCTCCTCTGCTCTTAATTTCCTCCTTTCTGCTGCTCGCCCGTGCACGTTCAGGGCTCAGCGCGTGCTCCCGCTGACACAAATGCCAGCAAACGTGCAAGTGGTGCTAGCAGTGCCCAATTTGCACAGAAGCGAAGCCCAGCTAGCTCATGGACCCGATCGAGAGTGTCCAGCTGGGCAAAATTTGTTCTTTGATACTGGCTTGATTCCGCGCTACAGGGTTGGCAAAGCGATTTCGTTAGAGGCTCACAAGCTAGTAGCTATCGGTTTAACTATTCAAGAATTAAAAACATAGTCAATCAATCAAACGATATTCAATTGGAATGTTTTTCACTTTACACGAGCTTACTGGCACTAGTGGGACTCAAGGATACTCGCACGCAACGCCACTGGCCAAGAAACTCCTTTGTTGCGGTGTAATTTCAAGGACAAAAGCGATCATTTTCATTCAATCTCTCCTTTGCAAAATTTTATGACGTAACGTGGGGATCGCAGTACACCCAAGTGACGATATTTGAATGCGGTTCATAGATTGGACCCGAGCATTGCGTGGGCACTCGACTTGGGCTCGTTATAATTACTAGCTCGAGAAGCACTCGGGTAGCGGGCCCGTGTCCAATCGCTGCAACGACGGCAATAGCCGAGCCATAACAATGTCTGGAACTCAGCGCGTGTCCTGTGCTTTGCCAACCCCAGGGCGTGCCTATGATCGCCATTGGCGGCATATAATCCGCTCCGGATCATGTGGCCGCTTCTTCTGGCTGCGAGTTGAGGGGGTGAACGCTGCTCGTTTTTCTTTAATTTTTTTTTGGGGACTTCTATTCCGTGGGGTGAAAAACGAACGCCTGTTTCATGGGTCATTAACGTCAGGGATCCGTTCTAAGCGGTATTTCCGCAAAGTACAAAAATTGTTGCATCGCCCCTTTAAAGAACATATATAAGACATGCCTTGTCAGCATTTCGCGATCGAAAGGGCTTTTGCACGACATAAACGTTTAAATTCATTTTCGCCGTAAGTCAGAGCGCAACCGACATAACAGGTCAATGAGGCCAAGCAAGCAGAGCCAGAAAACACTATGTCACGGAGCTCAACCTCTTATAGTGCGTTTTTTTTTTGTCCCCGGTCAAAGCAATCAAGCGCAAACCATGCACCATGGCCTGGCGCTTTTAGTATGCGTGTTTGTGCTTGTGTATCTTATAGTCTTTGACTGCATTTTGATCTATAATAAAACAAGCAATAGCAAACTTTTTTTTCATGACGGGTGTTCAGAAGGACGCCCTATTTAGCTCATCATTTATTGGTAGTTTGATTAAGCTTAATTACCAATTATCTGACCTTATAAATAATCACCCCAATATTGTTGAAATAGTACGCCGAGGTCGAAGATTTTGTATGTTCAAGAAAAGAGTAAAAGTGTATTTTAGAGCGCAGCTCTTAGGCGCCCGTTACCAGCTTGAGCGGCGTCGGCGTCGGCGTCAGGACCTCGGGTTCCTTCGGGAGGACCTCGGGTAGCTCGGTGACCTCGGGGAGGACGTGACCCCCCCCCCCCCCCTGAGGTCACATGAACCCCACTCCCCGAGGTCACGTGACCCCCCCCTCTTCCCGAGGTCACATGACCCTCTCCCCTCAGTACCTTCCCTCGTCCTCAAGAGCTGCGCTCTGATTCGGCGTTACAGGGAGTTGTAAATGACTTTCACTTTTTCAGTCCCAGTGACCTTAACTTAAAATTTGTTAGGCGAGTGGGTAGCAGATTTCAAAGTGATTTTTATAGTGCTTTTGATATTTTTTCATTAATATTTAAGTCTATGGATAATTTGATGTTGAAAAAATATATACCAACTACTTAAATGTATATATATATATATATATATATATATATATATATATATATCTGTTTGAATGCAACAGAAATGGAGAATTTTACAGTAGCGCTGACATTGTATGTAAATGAATGTGATCTCAACGATGTCGATGTGAATGATTGCTATTTCAAACATTTCATGAAGTTGATATTAATATCTGCGACTATACGGTGCTTAGCCAATGTCTATTTGATTATTTTATGTATAATTGCTTTTTATGCTGACAAAGGTCCTGTACACCGTTGAATGCTGTAAAAAGGGGCTGATGGCCAGGTCAGAAGACTCTTTAATGCGAAAAGATTATTTGCCCCACTACACGAATATCCGGCGGCAGCGGCGGCGGCATGACCAAGCGATGGTACCGAAAATGGCCGACGGCGCAAAGAGTGAAAACAAGTTAAAAACGCTCGGATTGACGTTACAATTTTCACGAAGGTTTTTAAACAAAGTAAATCAGTGGCTTTGGAAACAAACTTTAG